ACCGCGACGTGGAGTCACGGCGGGCGTCTCTTCGGAGCCGGCCGCTGGGGATTTGGGGCCCGTCGGACGGGGCGGGGATAGGTCGGGCCTGTCCCTCTACAGAGGGAATATTCTGGGCCAAACAATAGTGTGGGGACGATCTTTCAACCATTTTCGGTAATCTTTATGATATGTTTAAGGTATTTTTTATTATTCGTCCAAAATCGGCCTGTAGGGGAACAGGCCCGACTTAAGGCTGGGATGAGGATACATCCGTTCCAGAGCTTTCCGGAACGCTCTCAGAGCGTTCCAGAACGCTCAGACGAGATCGCGGCGCCTGGACATCCTCCAGAGCCGCCGGACCCTCGAGATTCTCGACTGAGCCTCCCTCGATGCAATCCTCGTCCTGGCGTCGTCTTCGGAACTCCGTGAGGGGCGGATTTGGGGGCCCCAGTGCCGTGCCAGACGCGGCTCGCAGCGAAGCGCAGGTCCGGGTGGATGGGGGGGCGAGCGCTCTGGGGCCCGCGCCTTGCGGCACTCAGGCCGCGTTGCCAGAGGTGTATGGGCACGGGGAGGGGAAGAAAACGGGAAGCTAGCGGCGCAGGTGCGCCGCGCGCCTGCTCTCCGCGCGCCTCTCCAGCAGTATAGCGAGGGGTGGTGTCGCGGGGTGACGGGGTCGAAGTCCGCGGAGGAAAAGGCATGCCTCTAGCCTTCCCCGTTTTCCCCTTCTCGGGCGCCCTTGGAGGCCCTCGTCGCCACCGCTAGATTCGCCTTCAGAACGCACCCTGAGCCTGGGAGAGGTCCGGGGAGCACTGTAGCGGTATCTGTGCCTTTTGGTTTCCACGGAGGGGTCGAAGGAGGAAGACGGGGAGAAGAGTGGGGGGAGGACGACGGCGTGGCATGCTAGGGCCAGCGGGAGCGAGGCGATCGGCGGGAGGTGGAGGGTTTCTACGACCGAAGGGCTTAGGCGACCCGTCCTCCTCCTCCTCCTCCTCCTCCTCCTCCTCCTCCTCCTCCTCCTCCTCCTTCGCTTCCTCCTCCTCCTCCATCTCCTCCCCCCTCCTCCCCCTCCTCATCCATATCCTCCTCCCCCCCCTCCCTCTCCCCCTCCCCCCCTTCTCCTCCTCCTCCTCCTCCTCCTCCTCCTCCTCCTCCTCCTCCTCCTCCTCCTCCTCCTCCTCCTCCTCCTCCTCCTCCTCGTGTCGCCTACGGCCCCGTGGGAAATCGTGCAGGAGGAGGGGGTGGATCGTAAGCTCGGCGTCCTGAGCGAAACAGAACAACGCGAGCAATCACAATAGGAGCCCTCGCCTGTCTGACTCGGGGATATAATTGAGACCATCTCGACCTTTGAGGGTTCCGAGGCCCGAAACGGGACACAGTAAGTAGGCATGTGTTTGGTTCTCGACGCCCAGAGGGAGGAACGGAAGGAAAGGAGGGAAGGAGGGAGACGGAGGGACGAGGACCGACGACGGGGGCAGCGGCGATGACGCCGACGCCGACGCCGACGCCGCCGACGACGCCGACGCCGCTGACGGGGCCGACGACGACGACGACGACGACGAAGACGTGCTCATGCCTCCGACGTCGTGATTCCTGCAACACGCTGTCCCCAGACCGCTCGGCCCCTTTCCCCTGCAGACCGACTCCTCGGCGGCCCCGTGGTTGCGAGATCGGATCGAAAGGAGTCCTCCGCGCGAGGACTGGACGTCCGCTTCGTCAGCCCCCGTCAAACAGCCCTGCACGGCGCTTCGGCTCCCCCCGCCCACCCCACCTCCGCCTCCTCCTCAGGCAACGCCGAGCGAGCGCCGACTCGCGCGAGGCCCCAGATTCCTCTCGGGCCTCGCCACCCCGACTTCCTCCCCGCACGCAGGCCTGCCAGGGCTGACGATCGGAAGAACGGCCTCCGGCGGGCGTCGGGAGCCTCGAGGCGGGGGTCCATGCAAACGGGGCCTAGCCAGAGCGACGGCTCTCGCAGGGTCCTGCAGGCCCAGGGCTGCACTGACCCTGGCTGGCGTGCAGGATCCTGCAGGATCTCGCAAAGTCCGCTTGGCCCGGGCTCGGAGTTCGCGGAGGATGTGCTCTGCTCTTGGATTTCGGCGTCCGGGGCCCGCGCCCCAGGGGAGGCAAAACCAAGAGACGAGAGGCCACCCCGGGGGAAGGGGCCGGGACCTCTGGGGCCGCGGAGTGAGGAAAACAGAGCTGCGGACGTTTGGGTGTTCCCCGAGATCCGACGAGTCAGAGAAGCTGCAGCAGAGACTCCGACGACCGGAGCCCCGGACCCCATCCTGTTGCGTCATGCTTCGAGCCGGGCCGATCTGTGGGGGCCCCAGGGACCGGAGCCCGGCGACAACGCCCGTGGTGAAGAAAAATTGCAGCTGCAGGATCTGGTTTGCACTGACTCGGCCCAGTGCGTCCCCGAGGGGACAGGCCCAAGGAGGAGGAGGAGGAAGGAAGGGAGGAAGGCAGGAAGCAAGGCAGGAAGGAAGTAAGGAAGGAAGGAAGCAAGGAAGAGAGAAGCAAGGAGGAGGAGGGAAGCAAGGAAGGAAGCAAGGAAGGAAGGGAGGGAGGAGGAGGAAGGCTTGAGGACTGTCGGCGTTCCCCTTGGCTTGGCCCGTCTGGCCCGGGCCAGTGCGGTGTGAGGGTGCCCCGCCGGCAGGCGCGCCCGCCGCCCCGGCCCCCGCCGGCGGCGACGCGGCGGCCCGCGCCGAGGGCCCGCGAGGCGCCGCGGCGGGCGGCGGCGAGGGCGCGGCCGAGGGGCGCCGGAGGCGCGGACGCCCTCGGACGACGACGACGACGACGACGACGACGACGACGACGACGACGACGACGACGCGCTGCGGATGCCCGAGGGGGGGGGGGGCTGCGCGGCCACGGGTGGCGGCGAGGGCTCGGCGGCGGTGGCGGCGGCGGCCGCGGGTGGCGGCGAGGGCGAGGGCGAGGGGAAGAGGCGCCTGCCACCTCCCCCCACCGAAGGGGGGGATCAAGCAGTGGCGAGGCGTCGTGGCGTAATTACCTAGAGGCCCATCAGACAATGATCTAAGAACCCTTTGTGGTTCCTATGGCACGTTCGAAGCACATGTTTGGCTGAGACTGCTCTGTCTTATCACATCGGGCTCATGTTCTAAGAACACTGCTCTTGCTCTTAGAGCAGGTTTGGGGCTCTGAGAACATGTCGCTGTCTGCACAATATGGGAATGCGGGGACGCTCGGTCCCTGCTCAAGGGGGGAGGGGGCGGGGCAGGGGGGAGGGGAGCGAGGGAGGGAGCTGAGGGGAGGGGGGGGGGGGGGTCGGCAGGCCAGAGGCCCAGGAGGCAGGGAGCAGGGATGAGAGAGAGAGGACGGAGCGGGGGGCAGGGAGGGGAGGGAGGACGGGAAACCCAGACACTTTCGGGTCATGAACAAAGCATGACGACATGTTCTTCGCCAGGCTCGGCCTCTTCGGGGGCCCTTGCCGGCCCCCGGGGACCGTGACGAAACGACTCGGGATGAAGAGCCGGTTTTTGGGGGGAAGGGGTCCAGACGGCTGGGGCTCCACGTCATGGCAAACTCGTGACGTCGGGAGTCCGGGAAGGCAGCACTCGGGGCTCCCAATGGCATGCGCAGACTGACTGCGGGAGGTCCGCGCGGGGCTCTCGGGAGTCGGCGCCGGGCCGCCCCCTCTGACGCCGCCCCCGGCGCCGCCGCGCTCGCGGGTGGGGTGGGGTCCAGCGCGGACCCGCTGCCAACTCCTCCTCCTCCTCCTCCTCCTCCTCCTCCTCCTCCGACCTTTTTCACGCCGGTCGCTGAAAGTACCAGGGAGCTGGATACACACGATGCGGCCGGCCTGGGCGATAGCTGGGTATGCACACGTGGTCGCGTGTCTCTCCAGCCCCCCGGCCCGCGTGTGGCCAGGCACGGTGATCCTCCACAGGTGCATCGATCAGGAGACCTCCAGATGCTCCACATGTGAGTTCAGCCACGCATGTTTCCATCTTCCTGATAGGTAGTTCTGGACTCCCAGATTTCAATCTACTTTCGCCGCATTCCTACTTCAAGTGTCCAGCTCGTTTCCCTGTTCCATCCTCTTCAGGGGGCGGACGGAAGCCCAATCTACTTGCAACGCCGTCCTGCTTCATGTGTCTACCCACTTCTTCTGACCGGCGGGTATGCTTATTCCGGTGCTGTTCTTCTAGAAGGAGGGGCGAGGCAAGATGGAGCAGGGAGCAGGCATCGTGCAGCGTGCGCGATGCTGGTTAGGTAAGAGCCGTGGGTTCGGGTCGGCTGCGGAGTATTTGTTCGGGTTAGACTCGTTAGTTCCGAGTTCCCTGATCCAAGTTCCGAGGAGGAGCAGGAGTAGGGAGAACGGGGAAGGGGGAGGGGATACCAGGGAGTGGGCAGCAGGTTGAGGCACAGGGGAGGGTATACCTGGGAGGGGGATCAGGAATTATCGTGATAGACGTAGGCATGATGAGGACGAGGATGAGGCCGCGGCAGTAGGAGGCGGGGAGTTGAGCTACAAGCTATGAGGCGGGGGTGGATGATGGTGCTGGTGATGGTGGTGGTGATCTTGATGGTGATGATGATGGCGTTGGTGACGGTGACATTGTTGTTGTTGTTTGCGATGATGGCGATAATGATGGGCAGTAGTAGGAGGATAAGGAGGAGGAGGAGAAGGAGGAGGACGATTGCGAGGACGACGACGAGGACCCCTCGAGGCCTCGGAGAGCATCCGAGAAGCCCCCATCCCAGGCCCGTCGAAGGCCTCCGAAGATCGACGAGAGTCGACGACGACCACGAAGAATCAACGAACCTCGTCGACGACGAACGTCGAACCCCCACTGGCATCCACGACCATCGACGACGACGAAAACTCGCCGACGTCGACGACGGCGATGAGCATCGATGAAACCGACGAACCAGCGAAACCGGCAAACCGTCGAGTTTTCGTCGATGCGCATCGACGAAAACTCGACGACGTCGACGACCGGCGACGAACACCGACGACGACGACGTCCACGCCGGGGGGACCGCCGCGAGGCGCCCGGCGGACGCCTCGCCGGAGCGCCCGGCGGCCGCGAAGCGGCGGCTGATGGCGGATCTGCGGCGGCTCTGCCCCGCGTGGTACGCCGAGCTCGGGGCGGGCATCGCCGGGCTCACCAACAGGACGTGGTGGGCCAGCTGTATACACAGGCAGGAGGGGGAGGAGGAGGAGGAGCAGGACAAGGACGAGGAGGAGGAGGAGGAGGAGAAGGAGGAAGAGGAGGAGGAGGAGGAAGAATAAGAAGACGAAGGAGAAGAAGAAGAGGAGGAGGAGGAGGAGGAGGAGGAGGAGGAGGAGGGGGCTGACGTCGTCCTCGTTTCTCGTCACGAGGACGGGGGGCCGGGAGCCTTGAGTCGGGAGGTCAAAGCCAGCGGGGGTCAGCCAGAGCGCCAAATCTTGACAGGCCCGACTGACCCGGGTTTGCATTGACCCAGGTCAGTGCGTCCCCGAGGAGGTTGGGCCGCGATAAGTGGGGGGGGCGAGAAATGGGGGGCAGCGAAGGCTGCAGAAGAGGGGCCCTTTAGGCACCCTGAAGGGGCCCTTTCGGGCCCAGAATAGGGGGCCTCGAAGGCCCGAAAAGGGCACCTTTCCCCCCCCCCCCACACCATTCATCGGTCCCCATCACTTCGCGCCCGGGCCCCACGGGGCCCCCCGATCGCGGAGTGCGACGCGATGGCGGCGGGCTGCGCGCTCGGTGGTGTCCCTTAAGGGGCCTCCCTTGGCCGCGCTCTGACGGTCGCTCTTGCCTAGGACCACTCTGGCAGATGGCCGAGAGGAGGGGGCTGCGTGGAGATGTGCTCACCGGAGGCCAGCAGCGGTGCCGGAGGCAGGCTGACAGGGCGCCCACTCCGCTGTCAGCCGACTTGCGAGTATTTGCCCCTCTCCGGCCCCCGAGCGCAGGATTTTGCAAGGCCCGACGGACCTCGCTTTGCCTTGGCCCGGGCCAGTGCGCGGAGATGGGCTCACCGGAGGCGCGCCCACCCCGCCAAGGCGAGTTGCGGGTCTGCCCCCCTCTTCGGTCCCCAGGGAGGGGGCGCTGCGGCCGCCACATCCTTGCGGGCCCGCGCTCGCTGGGATGTTCTGGCCCAGGGGAGTTTTTCCACCGAAAGTGGGCTTTGCTAAACTCGAGTGTGATGAGCATCGAAGAAGAACAACTGCATAAACATCAACTGCTGGCGCTCCGCGCGGATTTCTTGGATCCGCGCTGGGCCCCCCCCCTCTGGCGGCGCCTCCGGCGACGGCCCTGCCTCGCGCGCTCCGCGCACCAGGGATTGGCGGTCCAGCGCAGATCCAAGAAATCCGCGCGGAGCGCCAACAGTTTATGTTTATGCCGCTTTTGCTTCGTCTATAAAAACCTCTCACCATTCCTTTGAGCCGAGCATCTTTTCCACCGCAGCTCGTGATTGCACACGATGTGCATGAGTTGCTGCAAGTGTGCAGGTATGCGAGAATGCATCCTTGCGTGAGGGTGTTGCGAAGCGTAGCCACCGAGGCTCGAAGCTAGAGGTCGCAAGACACGTCCTAGAGCCAGGCGGAAAAATTGCGCATTCACAGCTTGAGAGCTCTCTGGTATCATCGTGGCCTGTCTTCTCAGACCCCCCCTCGGGTCATGAAGACATCACAACGGGGAGTTGTTCGCAATTTTTTGGCCTCTGGGGGCCCTTGCTGGCCCTCGGGGCCGCAACAAACACGGCTCGGGACGAAAAACCAGTCCCGGGGGATGGGTCCAGACCGCTGGGGGTCCACGTCATGAAAAATTCATGACGTCGGGGATCTGGGTTCTGCCGATTTTGCCTTCAAAAGCTGCTGCCTTTAAACTGTCGTCGGTGAGACAGACTTGCCCACAGCGGGCGGATGTGCCTTGCGATCTGCGCGTTGCGCAGTCTTTTCGCAACGGGCGTTTCGGCCTTGCTCCGGGCCCCAGGACCATCACGGATCGATCAGGCCTGAGAGATGCCACAGCATGGTAGGGCCCAGGGTTCCGGTCGTGATCTTGTTGCGATTTGTAGCAGCGTCGGATCTCGAGGTGCGAGGGTGTGGGGCGGCGGCTGAGGGAGGGAGGAGGGAGCAAAAGGGGGAGGAGGAGGGGGGATGGAGGACGTTTTTCTTGCCCAGCTGAAGCCACGCCCGCTCCCAGCGCCCCGGCGGCCGCTCAGTCGGGGGCCTTACCTGTCCCCGATATTGGTTTTTTCTCGCGTGCCCGTCGAGCGGCTTAATTGCGGCCTCGACGCGGAGTCGGCGCGACCTCGATTCGACAGCGCCTCGACACGGAGACCCGCCGGGGCCGACGTGGCCGCGGCGCGGATCTTCCACGCCGCCGGTAGGGCCGCGACGGGACGGACAACGTTCAGGAGGGAAAAATACACACAGACACAATTAATCGTCGATTCCCCAGAAAATATGGGAACACATGGGAACGGGGGGGAAGACAAAAAACCCAGAAAATATGGGAAAATATAGGACATCAGGTTATTTGTGTCTATCTACTCGTGTGTCCCAGTTCCCCCCTCAAAGGTCCCCTGAAGATGCCACAGAGGCCAGCGGCCGCTCAGTCCCCGCTCGCGCCCCCCGCCGCTTCCGCCGCCCGCCGCGGCCGCCCCACGGCTGCGCGCGCCCACCGCGGGCGCGCGCACGAGCTGCCCCCCCCGGGGGCCGCGGGCCCCGCAGCGGCCGGCGGAGGCTCCGCGTGCCCTGTGGCCTCGGGTGGGCTCGCGCCGCGCTCCTCCGCGGGAGGTCCGCACGGCGCTCCGCGCCGGCCAGGCCGCGCCCCCCCCCCCCCCCCCAGAGAGAGCCGAGAAGCCATGGCTCTTTCCACGAGGCGGTTTCTGGACAGTGGATAGACAATATATATATATATATATACATATCCGAACATTTACACCTTCGAGGGAGATTCGAAATCACCCCCGCGCCCCCGACAGCAATGCCGATCTCAGTACAGGCGCTTCTTTGGGGTTCGAATGTGCCTGTCCACTCACGGCCCCCGTCGTCGCCGCGCCATCAATCTCAATCTCGGGGGGGCTTTGGGGGGGCATCTTGGGCCACAGTGTTCGAATACACGATGTCCATGTCCATGTGCGCTCGCCCGCGGCCGCTGACTAACAAGTAAGGAATTGGCCGTTTTCGGTTTGCGAAAGGGCGTCGCGGACGTCATCTTTGCGCGTCCAGGTCCGTCGGTTTCGGTCCCAGGCCGCTTTCACTAAGGGGAGGCTTACTAAAGGGAGGCTTGTCCACCGCCGAGGTGGATCTGGGCAGGAGTGCCACCCCCGGGGAAGGGGTCGGGACTCTGGAAGACAAGAGCAGATCGGCGGATCGGATGCCAAGGCCCGCGTGCCGGCCCTTGCTGTAAGTCGGGCTCGTCCCTCTATACAGGGGGAGTATTCAAAAGTACTCGAAAAATAGTCTGGGGACTATTCTTTGAGCATTTTTTGACCATCTTGGAGGATGTTTGGGGTATGTCTTATGTTTCGTTCGGGGCTGGACAGAACCCCCAACAGTGACACGTCGATTAGTGAATTGTCCGTTTTCGGCTTTCGAGAGGGCGCCGTGGCCGTTATTTTCCAGGCTTGCGCCCGCCAGGTTTGGGCCCGAGGTCGTTTTCACTAAACCACGTTTTGCTAAAGGGGGTTCTGTCCATCCCCGATTCGTCCAAAATTCGCCTGTAGGGGGGACACGCCCGACTTAACCCTTGCTCGGCGGGGAGCCCAGGGGGAGGAGCGCGAGGGGGCAGGCCTTCTCAGAAGGCGGCGGGGCTTCTCGGGAGACCTCGCGCCGTCTGAGGAAGTGTCCGTGACTTTGGAGAGGGCTTGCAGGGCTTCTCAGATGAGCGACGAGAAAAGACGGAGTCGTCTGCGCCGACATTGGCGCGCAAGCTGCCCGCGTGAGGCCGCGCGTGAGCGCCCTCTCTTCAAGAGCGGCGTGCCGCGCGCGCGGCCCGCGCAAGCCGCCGCGCAGGGTCGCTGCGCCGCCTCGCGCAGAGCCCGGTTTTGATGGTGGCTCAGCTCGGCGCGAGGGGGTTTTTGGGAAGCCCCGCCGCCGCCCGCGAAGGCCGGCTCCCTCCCACCTCCCCCTCTGGCCTCGCCGCCGACTTGCCCCCCACGGCTCAGGAGGGAAAAAACACACAGACACAATTAACCGGCGATTCCCCAGAAAATATTGGGAAGATATGGGACATGGGGGGGAAGACAGAAACCCAGAACATATGGGAAACTATAGGGGGATTCCTATGATTTGTGTGTATCTATTTGTGTGACCCAGGGCCCCTTCAACGACCCGCGTCCCAGCGGCGCACCGCACGGGAGTGGTGCGGCCGCCGCTCTCCGCGCACGGGCAGCTCGGGCGGCGTCCGCAGGCCCCCCTTTCCGCTGCCGGGGCTCTGGCACCACGCAGGCGCTCCCGAGAGCCACGCCTGCGCCATTTTGCGCCGCCTCTTTGCGCCGCCTTCGCCGTCACGCCTGCGGCACCTCCGTCCCGGCGCCACGTCGGTCATCACCCACCAGGCCACCCCAGCCCAGCCCGAAGGCCCCAAATTGCCCTCCATTCCCAAAGGGGGGGGATTGCGGGGAGCATTGCAAAAGACACGTGTGGAACCCGTACCATTCCCCCAAGCCGAGGTTCGGGGTTTCGGGCTAGGTTGGGGTGGTTTGGTATAGGTACCTCCTCCTCCTCCGCCTCCGCCTCCGCCTCCGCCTCCCCTTCCTCCTCCGCCTCCCCCTCCTCCTCCTCCACCTCCTCCTCCTCCGCCTCCGCCTCCGCCTCCGCCTCCTCCTGGTAGTCAGGCGTGCTCGCCGCGCACTCCCTGTCGCGCCCCAGGCCGACCCCAGTGGGGCGCGAGGCCCCCGCCCCGGCCGCCCCCCCCAGAGCGCCTCTTCCTTCCGCGCCCGTCGCGGCCGACGCCGTGCTGGTGGCCACGGGAGGGAGGGAGGGGGAAGGAAGCGAGGGCGGGCCCCAGACCCCCTCGCGTCACGACTCGAGCATTTTCTTTGGGTGGAGGGCCAGGGGTGAACTCTGGAATGCCGTGTCGATGGATGCTCCAGGCCTGAACCTGCAAGAGGTGCATCACAGGACGGATTGTCTCTTGAGGTGCAAGAGCCCACATGGACTTCACCCTGAGCCCTCCACCCTAAGAAAATGCTCAGATGACAAAAATCACAACGGGGAGCAAAAAGTGACATAAACATAAAAAACTCGGAGGTCCGTCCGGATTTCTCGGATCGGCGCTGGGGGCCCCCGGCGCCGCCCCTGGCGCGCTTCGCGCGCCAGGAAGGGGGGTCCCTCTTGCGTGTAGCCGAACCTTTCAGCCGGGCCTGTCCCTCCACAGGGGGGATATCCAAAAGTGGTCGAAGCAAATAGTCTGGGGCCCTGGGGACTGTTTCGAGTAGCTTTGGGCATCTCTCTGAGCATGTGTGGAGTCTGTTCCATGTTTCGTCCAAGATCCCCCTGTAGGGGGACAGGCCCGACCTAACTCTACCTCCTCCAGGTGGACGTGGCGCTCCACCTCGAGGTGCTCCTCCTCCCAGCCTCCGTGAGGTCAGGGTGGCATCGGCCGCCGGCGCCGCCTGGCCAACCTGCACCGGCCCTTGACTGCGTGAGCGCTGTCCGCGATGCAGCCTACAGTCAACCCGCATAGGAAGGATGGGCACCCTTCCCCAGGGTACCCTTGCATCCTTGCCTCCTCGGTCCATCCTTGGCCACTTTCGTTCGCCGCGCCGCGCTCGAAGAGCTTCGAAACGAAGCATCGATTCGGGAGTTGTTGTCGTCGCAGTTGGGCTCTCAGCAACTTGACTGAATTGCAGAAAGGTCTCGAGCGAGAGCTGCGCGGGCGATCCTGACCAGGGCGCGTGGGAATACATTGAGGGGAAGTATGGAGCGGCAGCCATCCTCGTCGTAGGTGGGCCTTCACCAACCCAAGTGGATTGCAGGGATCTCTCGGGCGAGAGCGCCAGCGCCGGACCTGAGAGCGGGGGCGCTTTTGGCCAAGGCGCCTCGCACTATTGCGTGAGTAAGTATAGTGCGGGAGCCGTTGTCGTCGTAGTTAGCCCTTCAGCATTCGAGAGTCGGGGCCAAGCCCGCGTTCGAGCGGGAGCGTCATTTCCAAGGATCCTGTGGCTGACGCCGACGAGTATTCAACAAGACTCGGCACCGCGGAACTCCACCTGAGCCACGCACCCAGGGCATTTGTAAGATTATTCTCTTGCACAGGGTGTCGGCACGGCACGGCACCCCCTCATCGCCCACGCATTCCACCGGCCAGCGCGCCCCTCCGCCCCGACCCCTTTCTTTCGGCACGGCGCGCCCCTCCGCCCCGACCCCTTTCTTTCGGCACGGCGTACCCCCTCCACGCCCCCTCCGCGCCCCCCCCACCCGCCGGCCAGCGCGCCCCTCCGCGCTGACCCCCTTTATTTCCGCACGGCACTGATAGTGATGATGATGATGATGATGATGATGATGATGATGATGATGATGATGATGATGATAATGATGACGATGATGGTGATGCTGATGCTGATGCTGATGCTGATGCTGATGCTGATGCTGATGCTGATGCTGGTGCTGCTGATGCTGATGCTGATGAGTATGATAATGCTGCTGCTGCTGATGATGATGATGATGATGATGGTGGTGATGATAATGCTGCTGCTGCTGATGATGATGATGGTGGTGATGATGATGATGATGAGTATGTCGATGATGGTGATGATGATGACAATAAGGGTGTTGATGATGATTGTGATTGTGAATGTGATGGTGGTGATACTGATGATGGTGACAAAGCTGCTGATGATGATAACGACGACGATGGTGATGATGATGATGACGATGATGATGATGCTGATGATGATGATGATGATGATGATGATGATGATGATGATGATGATGATGATGGTGATGATGATGATGATGATGATGATGCAGATGAGTATGATGAGTATGATGATGCTGATGTTGATGACGATGCAGATGATGCTGATGTTGATGATGTTGATGCTGATGGTGGTGATGCTGGTAATTATGATGCTGATGATGATGATGATGATGCTGCTGATGATGATGGTGATGATGAGGATGATGAGGAGGAGGAGGAGGACGATGATGGATGTTGCCCGCTGCTGACGGTGCTGCTGATGATGACGAGGACGGCGATGGTGATGATGATAGCAATGGTGATGACGACGAAGGAGCTGCTGTTGGTGGGGAGCAAGGGCAGGAGCCCAGGCTCGCGCAGGCGGATCTGGGTGGGAGCCAGGCGGGAGGAGGAGGAGGAGGAGGAGGAGGAGGAGGAGGAGGAGGCAGAGGAGGAGGACGAGGAGGAGGTGGAGGAGGAGGAGGACGAGGAGGAGGAGGAGGAGGGAGAGGAGGGCAAGGAGGAGGCGCAGGAGGGGGAGGAGGCGGACGACGAGGGGCAGCCGGGCTCGCCGGGAGGACGGCGGCGGAGCTCGCGACGCTGGTGGAGGAGGCGCGGCTGCGGCCGGAGCGGCAGGCGGGCGGCGCGGGGAGCGAGGCCGCCGGGCCGGGCGACGCCTCCGAGCCGGAGCCGCTCGGCGCGGAGAGCCGCGGCGCCACGGTGGCCGAGCTCAGCGCCGAGGCCGGAGCGGCGCGGCGGGTGGGCGCCGCGCCGGCGCGGCGTCGGGCGGGCGGCAGCGTCCCAGCGCAGGGTAAAACGACGCGAAGATATCGGGACAAAATCGGATCGGGGTAACTCGAAATCTTTGAGAATCGGCGGGTTTGGAGGATGTATTGGGCGCCGCGGCCGCTCCAGAGCGTTCCGGAACGCTCTGAGAGCGCTCCGGAACGCTCGATTGAGTCGGGGCCGACATCGATCGATTGCGCTAACTCAAAGCCGCGATCGTTCAAGGTTGAATGATGGGCCAATTTCCCACCATCACCACTACCATAGATAGGATTGAGGAGAAGGGAAGATGAGGAGGTCCTCCTCCTTCTCCTTCTCGCCCTTCTCCTCCTCGTTCTCTTCCTCCTCCGCCTCCTCCTCCTCCTCCTCCTCCTCCTCCTCCTCCTCCCTCTCTTACCTATGGTAGTGGTGGTGGAAAATCGGCCCATCATTGAAGGAATCACGCGCTGTCAGAAACCAGCGCCGACGTCATCGCGACGTGAAGCTGCCGCATGCCTCCATCGCCTCGGGGACTGGCGGCGCAGGACCCCAGGAGGCAGTGGATATATGTTCGGGCCTTGGGGGGCCAAAGGTATCTCCCTCGTCCCCCTCCTCCTTTTCCACCTCCTCCTCCTCATTCTCATCGTCCTCTTCCTCCACCTCCACCTCCACCTCCTCCTCTTCCTCCTCCTCCTCCTCCTCCTCCTCCTCCTCCCTCCTCTCCTCCTCCTCCTTCTCCTCCTCTCCCCTCCTCCCTCCTCCCTCTTCCTCCCCTCCTCCCCCTCCTCCTCCTCCTCCTCCTCCTCCTCCTCCTCCTCCTCCTCCTCCTCTCCTCCTCCTCCTCCTCCTCCTCCTCCTCCTCCTCCCCCTCCTCCTCCTCCTCCTCCTCCTCTTTCTCCTCCTCCTCCTCCTCCTCCTCCTCCTCCTCCGCGTGCCAATGGTTCGCAGTGCTCCCGTCTGGGGTCCTGGGGCGCTGGCTTCCCAGGCGAAGAGGGGGCATGGTTCCACCCCGGCCTCGGATGATCTGCGCGGCGGAGGCGGCCGCGCCCTTCACCCTGGCGGAGCCGGGGGTGGGTGGGAAGCATCACGGTGCCAGTACTCACGAGCGAACACCACACACCCATACCCATAGGGGGGTTGTTTGTGAGGAGGACTGGCTATGGGTACGGGTGCGGGTTGTCGGACCCTTGGGAACGCTCCCGTTCGAGCGGGGACCCCCATTCGACAACACGCACCCGTAGCCCTCTCCGACCCTCCTATGGGTATGGGTGTGTGTTGTTGGTTCGTCAAGTACAGTGGGGGCGCGCATCAAGAAACCGCATGCTTTTCGCCAGGGTGTCCTGGGTTCTTCGCTCCTCGCGCTGCGCGGTGGCTTCCCGCAGCCGGTGGAGGAGCTGCTGCGTTCAGGGTGCTCCGGGTTTCCCCTCGGGTGCACCTCGCGCACGGGTTCTCAGGGTTGGGTTTTTTGCGAGAATTTCTTGCGGCCGCGCCCGCACTGTAGCCTGAAGTCGGGCACGTCCCTCTACAGGAGGAATGCTCACACATAGTAAAAAAATGTCTGGAGACGATGTTTCGAGTTATGTTTTGTTGCTGTCAATGTTTGGATATTTGTGGGCTGTGTTTATCGTCCAAGCTCCCACTGCAGTAGGGGGACACGCCCGACCTAACAGTAGCCCTCCCTTCGTTTCCGCGTTTCGCGCTCTCTTGGGCCTCCTACGGGGTCCCTCGTCGCCATTGCTCGGATTCGCCCCTGAGAGAAGCCCAGGGAGTCCAGGCCGTTCGTTGCGAGCAGGCATATGTATAGCACCGAGACCCCGCTCCACTTGAGGCGCCTTCTACTCTGGCGGCCGCAACTACCCAGACTCGGGCGGGCCGAGGCCAACTACCGTTTTAGGCGCCTTCCTGCTTCCTGCTTCTGCCAGCCTCCTCTGGCCGATCTGCATCGGTATGTTTGTTGTTCTTCCCCAGGAGTGCCGCAGCGAGTACCTCAGGCGGGACGCGATGTTCCAGGCTCGGGGGCCGCGGGAGCACAAGAGACAGCGGCTATTCGGACGCGAACTCATTGCCGATGCTGGCGGCCCAATTCTCCGTCCACCGGCACGGTGTCAGGCTCTGACCTCCCTGGGCTTCGCCGAGCGCGCTCCACTAACCTCGCAGACTGCCTGCTCGCAAGCATCCGACAAGCGCACCTGTCTGTCCCGGTGGAGTGCATCATAACCCCCCCACGGCGGATCCATGCCATTTGCGAGCAGCTGCTCTGCGAGTACAGTGGCACGCGCCCTGCCCATCGGTCAGACACTGGCCGTACCGCCGCCGAGCGCTTCCCCTGGCGTTAAGTCGGGCGTGCCCCTCTACAGGAGGAATACTCCAAAATAGTCAAAAGGTAGTCCGGAGACGATGTTCCTGCCATGTTTGGGGTATGTTTGCGCATGGATTGGTTGTTTTCTGACTTTCGTCCACAAGCCCGCCTGGAGGAGGACACGCCCGACCGAACCCTGGCGCCAGGGAGCCTCTCGGAGGCCCCTTTCCGGGGCCGCCGGGGGCGCGCGTGCGGCTCCCGGTCGGCCGATGGGGCCGTCCTCCTCTTGGGCGCTGGCGCCCGGCTCGGGAAGCTTGAGATCCAGGGCTGGACGTAAACGGTGTTTTTGGCGGTTTCGTGGGCCGTTTTCGTTTCGATGTTGTTTTGCGGGGAAGGCGGATGCGAGGCAAAAGCGCGGGAAAACGATTAGGTTCAGCCCTGCTGAGATCCGTCTGCATCTCGAGCTACGATTAAATCGGGCATGTCCCTCTGCAGGGGGAATATACAAAAATAGTAAAAAAATAGTCGGGTGATAATTTTTTAGTATTTTTGGGCATCTTGTTTGAGCATGATTTGAATATTTTCTATGTTTCGTCCAAAATCCCCCTGTAGGGGGGCCCCAACAAATATTCGCTCTCTCAACTCTTTGGATAAATGTTCGGATGTGACTTCGTCTCGACATTCCGAGCAGCCACAGTCGACTCCGATCCGTAGGTCGACCCTGCCAAATCGAGGGTACCCTTGCGTCCTGTGTTCCGCGACCAGTGCCTGCTGCATGCCTATGGCAAGGCGGCCCTCGGAAGGGTTTTGCGTCCTCCCGCGTGTCCTCTCCAATCAAGTCCGACTGTACAGTGCCGTTTTTAATACATGCTCCGCGTGCGGATCATGTATTAAAAATTGCCAGGATTTAGTATTAAAGACAACGAGGAGGTCATGCATAAATTATTCATGCACTAACCATGTATTAAAATCTCAAATTTTCAAAAATCCCATGTATTAAAAGCTGCCCTGTAGAGAGGATTCACAAGACGAAGAGGTTCAGCGGCACCCCAAGCTGGGCGTGCCGCGCTCCCCGCACTCCGCGGCCGGGGGCGGAGCGCCGGGGACGCCACGCGAGGCGAGCGTCGGGCTCCCTCCGCAGGAGGAGTGCTCAGAAACAGTCGACGCGTTCCTTGGGGACGCTTTTCTTGAGCACTGGTGTGCTGAACGTCTGCTCCATGATGTTCTTGAGAGGTTTTGCATCTCTCATCCGGAACCCCTTCTGTAGGAGGACATGCCCGACCGTGAAGTGTAGGGGATCGACTGCAGAATTGATGTACGTACCCCAAGATGGATTTGTTCGTCGGATCCGTTAGAAGTGCGTAGAAGGTTCGTACATCTGCGAGCAGTCTACGCAGGACTCGACGAGAAGATCAATTCTGGGGTAGACCCATTCTGTAGTCGATCCCCTACTCAAATGAGCGACGGGGTCGTCTGCGCCCGATTGGCGCGTAAGCTGCCCGCGTAATTTTGGGCCGCGCGTGAGCGCCCTCGTCTTCAGTGTGGCGTGCCGCGCCGGAGGCCCGCGTGAGCCACCGCGTAATGTCGCCGTGTCGTCTCGCGTGAGGCCCGTCGCGTTCCGCCGCTCCTGTGATCACCTCGCCGATCCTGGCCGGGCAGGCCCTGGGCTGAGGGCCGGTGCGTGTGCCCCCCTGGCCGAGCCGAGAGGAGGCGAGCACCGATCCCAGGCCCAGGAGTGTTCCGTGCCAGGGTCGCCCTCGCTGGGGGGGGGGGTCGGAGGTGGATGGACCTCCTACCCTGACACGTCGATTCAGGAATTGGCCGTCTTCGGTTCGTGAGAGGGCGTCGCGGCCGTCATGTTTGCCGGTCCAGGTGCGTCGATTTCGGTCCCAGGCCGTTTTCACTCAGGGGAGGTTTGCGAAAGGGAGGTGTGTCCACCGCCGAAGGACCCGTGTGTGTGCCTCCCTGGCCGAGCCAAGAGGCAGCGGGCACCGATCCCAGGCCCAGGACAGGAGTGTCCCGTGCCAGGGTCGCCATCGCTGGTGGGGGGGGGACCGCGACGACGGCGCACGCCCCTGTCGAGGACGGACGCCCCACCCGGGGTTGGGGCCTGAGCTTCAGTTGGGCCTGTCCCTCAACAGGGGGAATCTTCGGAAATTGTCAAAACATAGCCTGGGGACCAATTTTTTGGACTATTGTTTGAGCATGTTTTAGATAGTTGTCGGGCATTCTTAATTTGTCGTCCAAGATCCCCCTGTATGGGGACAGTTGGCGAAAAAGCCACGCACGAGAGACCGAACAAAAAAACACAGGGAGTGGACGTCCGAGCGATGGCCACGGGGGCCGGCCGAGGGCCCGGGACGGCTCCCGGCCGGGGTCGCCGAGGCGCTCGGCGGGCGCCTCGCCTTGGCGGAGAGCCGCCCCCCGTTTGCCGCGGGGAGGTCGCGGCGGTGGCCGCACAGCGCGCGGCGCGACCGTCGGGGATCGGGGCCGCCCTCTCCGCCGCTGGTCGGGGGCCAGCACGGAGAGGGGGGGCAGGGGGCAGGCAGGATGCTGAAGCGTGCGTCCTCCACGATTCGCGAGGAGGTCTCGAGCGGTGACGCGGGTCCCAGCGAGATGGTGCAGCAAAATCCACCGCGGGAGCGCGACTCCTGCTTGTCGAGGGCGCGGCGGCTGAATCAATTTCGGCGGCGAGCGAGGGGGGGAAGTGAGAAGGAGAAGGCCTTCTCAGAAGGCTCGGAAGTCCCTCGGCCTTCTGAGAAGTTTTCTAAGCCTTCCCCGAAGACAAACAAAAACTTCTCAGAAGGCGCGAGGGCTTCTGAGAAGTGCCGCCGCCTTCTGAGAAGGCCTTCTCCTTCTCGCTTCCCCCCCTCGCTCGCCGCCAGCAAGTGCATGGCCAATGCAGAGCCGCCCGCGGGCGGCCGCAGCGGCCCGCGCCTCGCGCGCCGGCGCCCCCCCGATCGGCCCGCCAGGCGGAGGTCGACGAGGACAGCCTGCCGCTGCGGAGGAGCCGTCGGGCCCGGGGCCCGGCCCCGTGTCTCCCGCAGAGAGTTGTTTTTTATAAAGAAGTCATTTTTGTTAAAAGCCCTCAGGGCCATACACATCCATACACTCAACGCGTATAGCAAGGACGCGCGCCTTCATCTAGGGTGCCCTTGTGTCCTTGCCCCTGCGGCCCATCCTTCGCCATTTTCAGTGGTCGCCCACCGGCAACAAAAATCCCGCCTTCGGCCTCCCAGGGGTCTTGCGCCCTTACCGCCCGTCCTCAATGTGAGTTTTGACTGCATCGCGCGTTATGCCTCCCCTTCCGCCCACCCCACAACGGTACCCGTGGTACCTGCCGCGAATAACGCCACCCGTGGCCCCGTGCCTCTTGTAGAGGGTTGTTTGCTTTCGTGGTTGTTTAAGCCTCTGGGCCATCACGCGCGTTATGCCCCCCTTCCCCCACCCTTCCATCCCCCCTCCCCCGTTCCCCCTTCCCCTTGACAATTACACATTGTGAACAAGAGGCACGCGTGCCAAGGATCATACAATCACGGATGTGGGACATTGGGAGATGGAGGTGGTGCGTGAAGAGCTTGCTATGTCCTTGTGGATAGTGGCGTCTCTATGACTCTTCGTGGCCACGGTGCTATTGGCCATCTTGGGGACTCGGGGGGGGGGGGGGCAGGGACACGGCCGGTCGGTCGGTCGGTCGGAATGAAGCAGGTTGGAGGGCCACGGGGCGGAAGGGGCGGGACAAGGGGGGTGGACGGGGAGAGGGGAGGGGGGGCGCGGTCGGTCGGCGGGCGGCCACGGGGCGGAAGGGGGAGGCGCAGTCGGTCGGCCGGTCGGAAGAAGCAGACGGGGGACGGGAGGGCACGGTCGGTCGGTCGGTCGGTCGGTCCGACGTGGGCAATGGGGCAGAGGGGTGCGGGGGGGCAGGCACGCGGGGGCGGCACGCTCCCGGGCCACACCCTAGCACGTCTCCCAGCACACGGAGGCAGCACACGTCCCAGCACGTGTCCCAGCACATGGAGGCAGCACACAGTCCTGCACACATCCCAGCACACGAAGGCAGCACACCTCCCAGTACGCATCCCAGCACACATCCCAGTCCATCGCACATCCCAGGCACGGTCGGCCCGTCGGTCGAAATAATACAGTGCGAGATCACATCGGTAGGTATGATAATAATAGTATGCTCTCTCCCCTGGTGGCTTCTGGAAAATGCTCGGCCCCCCTCCGCGTAATGGCTGCCTACACAGGATTCCCGGGAAATGGATTTTCGCGTGGGTTGTTTTTTAAATGCTGCTCTCGCTGAAGCGTTGGCTCATTTTCGGGCTACCGCTCGTTTCGAATCATGGTCCCGCTGCAGCGACGACCTCATTTCCGCGCTTCCGCTCGTTCCGAATCGTGCTCCCGCTGCAGCGTTGGCGTCATTATTTCCAGCGCACGGTCCTTCCAAATCGGCCGCAAAATATAGGAAATGGACCCCCGAAAAAAACATCGGAAGTGATTACACATTCTGCACCGATTCGTTAATTTATCGGGCCGCAGAAGCCCCCCACTTTGGAGCGTCGCCACGGTATGCTATATCGTGCTGCTCGTTGATCGTCAACACCATGATCTGCCATGCAATGCTGTACACGTCAGATATGACGCGAGCGCACCTAGCTTGCCCTTCCCCCCTCCCCCTTCCATCTCCCCCTCCCACCCCTCCCCCCCTCCCCTTCCCCCCTTCCCGCCCCCCACCTTCTCCCTCCCTTCACCCCCCAACGGTACCCGTGGCACCTGCCACGAGGAGCCGCCCGAGCGGACAGCCACCAACAGCCACCCACCCCACCCGAGCCGAGAGCGGGACCTTCCCCTGGAGGCAGCCTCCTCGCCCACGAGGCATCGCGCGCGGACGGGCTCAGCCGCGCGCCCCCTGCCCCCCCCCCCACCACCGCGGTGTGTCCTCGGCCTTGCACCCGTGCGCCCGGCACCACAGCCCGTGGTGCCAGACCCACACGGCGGGGGGAGGAGGAGGAGGAGAAGGAGGAGGAGGAGGAGGAGGCGGAGGAGGATAATGAGGAGGAGGAGGAGGAGGAGGAGGAGGAGGAGGAAGAGGAGGAGGAGGAGGAGGAGGAGGTGGAGGAGAATGATGATGAGGAGGAGGAGGAGGATGGGGAGGAGGAGGAAGAGGAGAAGGGGACGGTATTTTGGCGATTTCGTGGGCCGTTTTCGTTTTCGATTTCGTTTTGCGGCAAAGGCAGATTCGAGACAAAAGCGAGGGACAACGAAAACACAACGAAAACGAAAAACACCGCAAGTTTAGGTTCAGCCTTGGGACATTGATTGGGGTTCGTAATGTTCCCCCCGGAACATTATATCCGGGCATTTCGACCCCAAACAGATCATAATTTGGGTTTATAAATTTCTGGGACTATTGACTGGGTTAATAATGTCTCAGGACGTTTTATTATTCTGGAGACATAATTATGGAGGCTGAGGGGCGTCGCCTGAGTCATAGGCGGATCTTCTGAATCCGGATTCATGGTTCCGGAATGATTATCAGAAGTAATGTTCCCCAACCCCGCGCCTCCAATCTGAGATCCTTTATTCCGTGCTCCCTAGAAGATCAGAAATTGGGGTGCATAATGTTCTAGGAAGAATAACTCAGGTCTATTACTCCGGAATGGTAATGATCCGGCGGAGGGGGGGGGGGCGTCTGAGAAGAAGAGTAGATTTGGATCCACCCTGGTTGATTAATTATGTAGGAATATCGACGCCAGATGCATTATCCCAGAATAAAAATGATCCGGGGGGCCACCGATAATTCCACAGGCCAGTAATCCAATGGGAGTATCACCGAAGATAGTGAACCTAGGTTTATCATTCTTGGATAATAAACCACGGTCGACGAGGAGGAAGAGGTGGAGGTGGAGGTTGAGATGGAGGAGGAGGAAGAGGAGAAGGAGATGGAGGAGTAGGAGGAGGATGTGGAGGTGGAGGGGGAGGATAAGGAGAAGGAGGAAATAGAAATGAACATGGAAATGGAGGAAGATGAGGAGGAGGAGGAGGAAGCGATGGAGGAGGAGGAGGAGGAGGAGGAGGAGGAGGAGGAGGAGGAGGAGGAGGAGGAGGAGGAGGAGGAGGAGAGGGAGGAGGAGGAGGAGGACCAGCGTACACCCAAGAGTCATGAACGATGTTGGAGTAAACCCTCCCTCCAACCTCCCTCTTCATAGGCCCCTACAACGGTTCATTTCCATTGATGGAACTGTTTCGTTGGAGGACAGCCCTTTGAAGAGCCTGAAGCATGCAACATTTTTTTCTCGGGATTCCAACGTCATGGCTCAACCTGTCTGGTGCGTTTTGGCGATCCTGAATCGTATCAGAACGCCATTCTTATGTTTTCAACAGAGAATCAACGTACTTGTTGCACCCGCATAACGTTGATGATGGGAATCCGTGAAGCTCTTGTATTGTTTTTACGAATGTGCGCTTAGGCGAGAACGATTTTTTTGAAAAGGAAGCGCCCTCAATCCGTGAAACTCCTTGCAAGTGTTTACAAACATGTGCGCCGCGCTAAGACGAGAGCCACCTGTTGAAAACCACTCGCCCTCAATCCGTGAAACTCTTTGCACATGTTTAAGACGAATGTGCGCCGCGCTAAGGCGAGAGCCACATGTTGAAAACCACTCGCCCTCAATCCAGGAAGTCCTTGCAATGCTTGTTAATAGAATGTGCTCGGCGCTAGGGCGAGAGCCAGATTTTGAAAACGACTCGCCCTCAATCCGTGAAGCTCTTGCAAATGTTCAGAACGAATATGCGCCGCGCCTTGGGCGAGAGCCACAATTCGAAACCACCCGCCCTCCATCTGCAAAACTATTCTCAACTTTTAGGCTTCAGAGTCATACGTAGTGAGGGAGTCTCAGGCGAAACGCCCGGCCCGCCCTGAAAACTGGCCTCCGGGTGCGACAGGCGGAATTTATGTATAAGGAAATGTAATGGAGGAGGAGGAGGAGGAGGAGGAGGAGGAGGAGGAGGAGGAGGAGGAGGAGGGGGAGGGGGAGGAGGGCAAGCTAGGTGCGCTCGCGTCATATCTGACATCCTACCCCTCCCTCCCATCCCTTACCATGGCGTAGATCCCCTCTCTACTCGCACAGTCGGATGTCGAGCAGGGCAATGATCCCGAAAGGGTACGCGATGCATTGTAGAGCACGGCATGGCATGGCGTAGAAGAGCACCGCAAAGCGTAGTATGTCACAGCATGGCGTGGCGTGGCGTAGTGAAGAATTGCATCACAAAGCTTTGCAACGCAAAGCATGGCATCGCACAGCGGCCCCGAACATAACATTGCATAGCATGGCGTTGAAGATCAAAGCGTAGCATGGCATAGCACGACGTGGCACTTAAGCACTGCATATCACAGCTTCAGCTGAAATGGCATCGCGCATCGCGCAGCGGAACGCAACCTAGCATTGCATTGCATGCCGTGGCATGGCACGGGAAATGACGCCAGCGCTGCAGCGGGAGCACGATTCGGAACGAGCGGAAGCGCGGAAATGAGGCCAGCGCTGCAGCGGGAGCACGATTCGGAACGAGCGGAAGCACGGAAATGAGGCCAGCGCTGCAGCGGGAGCACGATTCGGAACGAGCGGGGCCCGAAAATGAGGCCGGCGCCTCAGCGAGAGCAGCATTTTGAAAACAAATGCAGGCGAAAACCCAACTCCGGGGAATCCTGTGTGTAAAAAGACAGTACGCGGTGGGGGGGGCTCTGCCCCCGTGCCTATCGCAGTGTCTCGGGGAAGAGAGAGCTGCAAAAGCGCAGGCTTTCGGAGCTCCGCGCGGGTGCCTCGGGATCTGCGCGGGCCTCCGAGTTCGTATACAGACAATCGGGGCGCTGAAGAAGGAACTCCTTTCGCTCGGGAGGGGCTCCCTCCCTCCTCCCTCCTCCCTCCTCCCTCCTCCCTCCCAGCTGCCGCTCGGATCGAGCAAGATAAGGCAGCTAGACCCTGACCCACTTAGTAGCAGATGACTCGTCA